TATTTCTATAAACTAACTGGTTAGACCTCACTGTTTGCCCCTCTATCCCAATCCATCTCTGAATAATGCCTTAAACTGTAATCCTGCATACCACTGTGTAATCTTTCCAAGGATCGAACATTTCATTTCTTGAGGGCGAGGGAATTTACCGGTATTTGTATTGATATACCTTTACTTTGTTACATTCTTTTTGTTACTTTGATACACTCATGAGAGAGAGAGAGAGAGAGAGAGAGAGAGAGAGAGAGAGAGAGAGAGAGAGAGAGAGAGAGAGAGAGAGAGAGAGAGAGAGAGAGAGAGAGAGACTCATTTTACTTAACAATTGGGGACAATATATGCATACATTTTTTTTACCTTCGTCTGTATCTAGTAAACAAGTATTTTACTGTGTCATTTAAACTAGTTTCACGACATGAATCATTAATCTTCCTTTGTCAACAGCTGTTTTTCCAGCCCTCATTATACAGCTGTTTGAAGGTGTGCTCGTTTTAACCAATGAAATCAATGCATTGGGTGGCGTGTTGAAACGTCACAAGAGGTGTGTCAATCCAGCCAACAGAGCTCTTACAAAGGTTTACCCAGCAGGACGAAAGCTAGATCTAACTAGTCGACAATGAAATGTACTCTTGTAAAGTTCATGGACGCTAAGAACTACGTTGCAACAAAACAGCTGTTTAAAAAAAAAAACAGCAGTGAAAATACGTCGTTGGGGTTAGCCTTTAGTAATGTCTGTTCAAGATTAGTTTGCAAAGTTGTGGGTTTCTTACCATGACCTTATTCTCGGCCTGAGTACATGTAAGTTTTGTCGATGAATAAGAAACGTGGCCAGTCTTTACCGTTCGCGAATGGTAATGCATAATCACATCCTTCTCGTCGTGCATTTTAATAATTTATAGGTGTACACGTCGAAATTCATCCTTATATAATCCCTCACTGGTCATTCTTAAAAAGTTGAATTATATATGTGTACACTAATCCGCAGTTAAAATTAGACTTGTCTGAAGCCGAAAAGTCGTCTATTTCGGCAAAAATAATGCTTGAATATTTACAACATCTTGAAGTGAAGCAGTTACCTATATTTTGCAACATACAATGAGTGCACTTGTCAAAAAACAGCTGAAAGCATATTTTTATTTTCTTCTAATGTCCATATATGATAATTCATCCGTTCACTAGATATGAATCCTAATATTAATCCATAAACTGAAATGTAATTGATTTTTCATGATGGACACTGCGACCCATGTATCTTTTTGGTCTGTTTGTATACATACATACATACTCCGTCGTTGAAACTTACGAACGGTGGCCATTAATTGATACACATATGTATTGATCCATTCTACACATTATACTATAACAAATTAGCATATGTTTCAACCATCTCCATCGTTAGATATTTACCTCAGTAGCAGACATACGTAAATACTTAAGCCATGCCGGCTGTTCATTTGCAGCCAAAGTTACGCATTTGATCTCCAGGCATGCACCAAACAACCCCACCCATTTTCAAGCCTAAATTAAAATAAATCTAAACCACAATACAGATTTAGTTTATGTGTGAATTTATAAACGCTAGGATTATGATAATTAGGTTCATGCCTTCTACATTAAAAATTAGGAAAGTTTCAAAATACGAAACTATCCAGTGAGACCTCACTTGCACAAACTCGTAACTATAACACTTAATCTGATTGGCTGATAACATTATCGATTATATTAATAATATAAGTCAACAAACATGACTTCTAAGCGGTCGCTCTCAGATCTTCACACAGGGCAGAGAAAATCTGATTTTGATCTTATTGTTACCATCCAATCTATGCCAATTGTTCAATATGACAGACGGAACTCTCCAACTGTTATGATGGTTTCTAATTGTCCAGCCCAGATTGCGGACGGGGGTGTTGGTAGTGATGTTCATTTCCAGTGCATATTCAGACATATGCGCTTTGATAAAACTATGGTCTTTAAATATGTCAAAGGTGATAGAGAATCAGAAGCTAATACTGATAATAGGATACAGCTTGCTGCAACCATATGGTGATAATAGCTATGTGGTCGATGAAATAACCGCGTTAATAATAACCTTTAGTTCTTATTAGACTGATTATAGCAGCCTGCACTAAAGTCGTTAATCGGGTCTTGTCCATCAACCAAAATAATTATATATATATATATATATATATATATATATATATATATATATATATATATATATATATATATATATATATATATATATATATATTACTGCATTTGTATGGGAAAATATGAACGAGTTTTTTTCGGATGGCTATACTGCACGACCTTGGGAGTGCAGTATAGCCATCCGAAAAAAACGAGTTTATATTTTCCCATTCAAATGCAGTAACCTTTTTGTTATATGCTCATTTTTGTTTCACTACCAAAGACTTAAAAATAGCATTCACAGCCAAATATATTTAATAATAAAATTTATTATTTTATTATTAAGATAAATAAGTTGACAACCGTAGATTCTCCTTCAATACACAATAATAGTATTTATGCGCATATAACTCCGCCCATCGACCTTTTGACTTCATAGCGTACCGCGCGCTTACTCATTTGAAAAAGAAATCCCATTTTGTTCTATCTGAAAATGAGATTTCAAGTCATATTATGAATGACTGCGCCATTGAACAAAGTTCCCAGCTGGTCAGGAATTGAGAGATTTTGTTTTTCTGTCAATACAGTCATATTCTGATTATCTCCTTCTGTGTGTTTTCCGCACGATGTACGTGTGACTTCAGGGACTGGCGATGACAACAATCTGCATAACTGTTTGTTCTGCCATGGATAGTTTGGAATCGTAAGGTAAAAAAATATGAAAGTTTTTAAACATAAATTCTTAAGAAGATGCTGGTTTCAATATTGTTATTTTTTTTGTGAACAACCGATTCATTTCTTGCGGTGTTCCTTACAGTCTACTATGGAATGTGACTTCGATTTCAACAATGTTCCGGAATGATATCTTCAATGCAGCGCGTCTCACGTTTGTTTTCATACAGCCATCGCTGAACATTTCTGATATCACGTTCAGTCGCCAGCTTCGTTGAAAATTTCTTCTGTGATTCTATGAATTCATCCTCATTCTCAACTTTGGTATCTCTACTTTCAAATGGTTCAAACAGTTGGTATACTTCATCCACCGACAAACATAATAAAGTACTGGCGTCTGCGTCCATTGTTTGTTTACTATAGAAAGTAGTTCTTTATTCACGTGCATCAGACATGTGGGGGTGCAATATGAAGGTGCAATATCGCTGGATATTGAACGATTCTGACTGTAAAGTTAACGGAGAAAAAAATGAGCATATATATATATATCTATATATATATATATATATATATATATATATATATATATATATATATATATATATATATATATATATATAGATATATATATATATAGATATATATATATATGGGGGTGGGGGTGGGGTGTTGTTTAATTATTAGTTTGTTAGTTTAAAGTTTAATTTTTAATTTTATTCCATTACATATTACTTTAATGATAATTTAATTTTGTCTACTGGATATGATTTTGTTTAGAAAATCAATTCATTGTTGTTTGACCTGATAAAACAGCAGTAGTTGAAACTTAGTATCTTTTTCTTACATAGATTCAGAACCTGTGTCAAGTTTGCAGTAAACAGCCTTTAAATAATTCTTTTTTAGAGTAAGAATCGTAGATTTTAGCTTAGGCTATACTATATACATGAATTTAGGCATGTAATATTTCTACATTGTTCTGCTAAATAGTTGATCACGTGACCCTCATCCGGGAATCTGTTTTGCGTCTTAATTTACTGCATAGTCGTTTGCTTGAGAAGAAATATCCAGTTGGACTTTAAATCTCCGACCCTTAAAAGTGTCTTGTTGTGACCAGTTTGAGATGAATTTTTTCATTGTTTGGAATTAATGATATTTTGACCTTGAAAATATTAGTGCTAATCAGAATTCTTGCACAAATACATTTGCTGAAATTATTTGGAATTCAAAAACTGGAATAATATTCGTTGTGATTCAACAATGAGCTGTTGACATATCAGCACTATGTAGGTTATCAAATACGTCATCGCCTTCCATTAGGGAATTTCATCGCGATGCGAACTGTGATTCATTTAGGACTTTTTATTGACATAACATTTTTTAATTATTGGGTTAATTTTGAATTTGATTCGTAAGCCATAAGTCGTATCTTTTTTTGTCTTGTTTTCTAGGGAAATAAATTATTTGTTAAATTTTACAAAGCTAGTTCGCTTCAGTCTTTTCTTGGTAATTTTGTGCATGCTTATAGACGTAACAAATTATTTGGAAAATGACTCGAAGAAAAAAAGAAATGTCAGTTTTGTGTCTATAGGACCTAATAAACATTTGATCACATTAAAAATACGCTCTACAACTGGTAAAATCTGTCCTCATTAGCTGTTGAAACAGTAACGGCCTTAGCAAACGCGGGGCCCGATTTTGATTATTTTGGCGAGGCCACCTGGTTTGACGCGTGGGGCCCCTGTGAGCAGAGGCATTTGGAAATAAATTTTTAAACAAGTTTTATATAATAATGAACTTAAAAATTGTCTTCCATCGCTTTAAAATTGCTTTCCCTCTATAAATTAAAAAAAAAAAATACTAAAGTGCGGGACCCATGTGAATGCGATGCTCGATTGGGCTAAATAGGTCCAATTAACCTAAGGCTGACCCTGGGCTGACTTCTTGACCATATAGCGCTTGCACACAGGGGCAAGGTAGGCATTTGCCCACTCACCCCGGATATCACCAATAAACATATTTTAGCCGACATCCATAAATTTTAATCACTGAGCACTACATTTTCGTGCACATTCCCCCAAAAAAATTAATTCTGCGAACACACATATCCTAGCCCCTCTTTGATTAAGCCTGCCGGTAAAAACAAGTATTCCACAAAAGACACCCAGCAAAACAGTCTATTGAACATGAACATAAAAACCGCTCCGGTGGCCTAGTGGTTAGAGCGTCCGCCTCGAATGCGGGAGGTCGTGGGTTCAATCCCTGGCCGAATCATACCAAAGACTTACAAAAATGGTACAAACAGCTGCCTCGCTTGACGCTCAGCATTAAGAGGTTAGTGTTAGGACTGGTCGGCCTGGTGTCGGGATAATGTGACTGGGTGGGACATCATGCTACATGTCTGCGGCATGATGCCCCAGTGGTAGACATCACTATAAATTGCCACACTGCAGATATCGTAGCGATAATAATGAAAAATTGTTAAAGCTACGTTAATAATCATAATCACATCACATCAACAAATGATACATGGCAAAGCAGAGATGTTGCCACCCCTCCATTTCACTCCAAGTCATAGTGGTAGCCCCCATTGGTCGCCGCTATATTATGCAGCAGTGTGCATCTTCGAGACCACATATGCGATGGAAAAATGGAGGCCATGGAAAAGGGTTTTCAGGCGAAAACGCACTTTCCCATACCTACCGCAATACTTCCCTAACGCGATGGAAAAATGGAGGCCATGGAAAAGGGTTTTCAGGCGAAAACGCACTTTCCCATACCTACCGCAATACTTCCCTAACCCCCGAAAAATAAAAGTCTTGAGAAATGACTATTAAGACGTCAAATATGAAGCAAAGAAATTATTTATTATCATCTTTATTTCCCTGCGTTGAAAACCATCGGGCCGTACAGTGCTATATCGAATTCAGACATAGTAACCTGTTTACGAAATTTGCCAAACAGACATCACTGTAAATAACAATGCACACTGAAGCAATATATTTTTTATTACTACCGGAAAAAAATTTGGTGCCGGACTTTGCAAACGTGGAGAAAACTCTTTGAAGCTGACCGAGACAAGACTGGAGCATATTATTGGGTGGTGAACATTACACATTACGCACAAGCTACAGACTGGAACATCGTATGGGGTGATGTGCGCTACATGTAACACACAAGCTACAGACTGGAACATCGTATGGGGTGGTGTGCGCTACATGTAACACACAAGCTACAGACTGGAACATCGTATGCGGTGGTGTGCGCTACATGTAACACACAAGCTGCAGACTGGAACATCGTATGTGGTGGAGAGCGTTACACACTCATAACAGCTTTATGAATAAAAATCAAATGATATTAGACGTTTCACAGGTAGTTTACATAAGGGTGAAACTGAAAAAGGCTTGACTATTGTAACATTTACAAAAAAGAATATTGAATTAATTACACGCACTAATTTTCATCGTATGTATGTATGTATGTATGTATGTATGTATGTATGTATGTATGTATGTATGTATGTATGTATGTATGTATGTATGTATGTATGTATGTATGTATGTATGTATGTATGTATGTATGTATATGTGTGTGTGTGCGTGCGTGCATTCATGCATGCATGCATGCATGTATGTATGTATGTATGTATGTATGTATGTATGTATGTATGTATGTATGTATGTATGTATGTATGTATGTATTTATCTGTTGGATCATTTACGTCATTTCAGTGTTGTTTACAAACAAAATGAACACTGTGTTCTATTTTTTCTGAATATTCAGATTCTGAAAAAGTCGGTCGAGCTTGAAATTTACAGCGAACCTCGTGTGTTGCAGAGCACTTAAATCCCAAAAACTGCTGAACTTGTGCCAATTCGGTTGATTGTTTTTTTTTAGATAGATGTCATTGGGTGACCGCAAACAATGCTGCTTACCTTAATGAAAGGCTAAATTATCAGTCAGTAGAATTAAGAAACCCGGAGCGACGTCCTTTTAACGTTAGTCCTGTATAGTTAACGTTACTGGACCCTATATTTTCTAATTATGTTTCTTTGATATTGAGATGTTGTCTAATACAGATTTCACGAAGCATTAACGGTAAACATTTTAAAATGAGGCATTTTTATTTGAAGCGCCAGGGATGAAAATGAAGACGGAGATTATACAATATAGTTTTACATTGTAATAATGACCTATCTATTATATCCTTGAGATTAGACAAGCTTGCGTAACTGGTGTGCACTTAAGTAATGAACTCAAATATGTACCAAGGCCGAATCAGGTGAACCGTTGTGGGAGGGGGAAGGGGTCGGTTCCAAAATTTCAAAGGTCCCAAACTTTTCTCGAAATGGCACCGAAGCAAAAGTTTATGGGTCTATTAACTTCTGAATGTGCTCAATACCCATACATATGCGCAAGATTTAAACAATGGCCAAATATAAAGTGGGACTCCGAGTAGCCAAGGGGTCTAAAGCGCTCTCAACGGACATGTACGTCTTGTTAATCTATCATAAGGCACCTTCCCGTACTGTTCCATGCATATATGTATACTTTTCAAATTGTTGTAGGGACCCCGAGTGGCCGAGGGCTCTAAAGCGCTCTCCGTTACGGATCACTGCCGTCTCACCTCTGGCCGTGTTGGTTCGAATCTAGGATACGGCGAATCTGGATAAGTGAGAAAGCTTGCCAGTTGTTTCCCGTGGTTCGGTGGTTCTTTCAGCGGATTTCCCGGTTTCTTCTTCCACCATTAATACTGGTCACCATGTATAGCCTATCGTGTGCTGAAAAAAGTGTCATTAAGCCCAACAACAACAACAACAACACTATGAAGTGACAAGCGACTTGGTTTTTAGCGAAAGTGGGGTGGGGTGAGGCATCGCCAGAGGTCCCAGAATCACCCCCACCCGACGATATCTGGGCTAGTTCTTTTTACAACTTTAGTAACATAATACTTTTGCTGTGGCGTAAAGCACCTAACCAAATTTATTGTGTGTGTGTGTGTGTGTGTGTGTGTGTGTGTAAAAACAACGTTTGCTTAAAAAGTCGATCATGCATTACATTATTTACTTTCTCAGATAAAGGTGATCGAAATGATTATTTTTCGGCACGTAATGTTGTAAACTTGACTTTGTTTATTCAAGATATATCTATTTGTATTGACCTGAATAATAGAAAGTTCAATATCTGGATAGAGGCATGTTTTGATGTGGCGGTATTCGAGTCCTCTACCTACCGACACAAGGTATACAGTACTGGCTTACCTAGCATATAATGGGGACAGGAATTCGTGGAATTGAAAACAAACCGGATGAAAAGAAAAAAGAAAAAAAAAAGAAAATCATAAAATATTCATGTATACGGCGGCAATGAAGGAGGAGTAAAAATTTTCCACAATTGACTTTGGAAATAGGCTAAGAAATCCAATCAGGCTCAGGTATAAACAGCTCAAAATCTAGCTGCCGGTGGCCTTACCTTAATCACAATATTACGGAAAGGATATCTGTGCCGTCGTTGGATATAGGTTGGGAGATTCGGGAGGGTAACGGGCGGCTAGGGTTGCCAAAAGTCTTAATTCCAAATAACGATCATTTGTGAAAATAGATACCGTACCCAATATTTACAGTTTGGCTAATAATCCTGATAGAAGAATATGTAATTATTTTTTTTCAATTTTCGAAGACTTTTATAAGTTCTTTCACCTTTGGTTAAAATAAATTCTGTTTACACAGACACTATTTCAATTTTCTCCCGGCAGATTATCCTGTGCTTCATCTATGTAAGACTATTGATTAAGGTATCTGTTTAACACACGCACGCACGCACACACACACACACATACACACACACACACACACACATATATATATATATATATATATATATATATATATATATATATATATATATATATATATATATATATATATATATATATATCTATATCTATATCTATATCTATATATATATATATATATATATATATATATATATATATATATATAGTGAACTGTCCATGTTGTTATTATTATTATTATTATTAGTAGTAGTAGTAGTAGTAGTAGTAGTAGTAGTAGTAGTAGTAGTAGTAGTAGTAGTAGTATCAGGTCGTCAAGCGAGTGTGTTTGTTACACACAAGTTCATATAATACCAATTCAGAGCCCTCAATTTTGGTGATGCGTACTTAGTCATGACGGGATATGGAATAGTGTGTGCAGGCAGGCGATGGGTGTCGTTTATTCGCGGACCTGGGTTCGAAACTCCGTAGATTATGAATTATAATTCTCTAACGTGTATGATAGTATTATTTGTATTAAATTAATTTTTCTTCTTACTTTTATCACCTTTATTCTACAGAATTCTGGGATAGCACTTTCTGTTCTGTTTGGTATTTATATATATATATATATATATATATATATATATATATATATATATATATATATATATATATATATATATATATATATATATATATATATATATATTAAAAAATCTTTGTAATAAAAATCCTATATATCTTGATTTCTTTAATAGGAATATGGAACAAATTTGCATATATATGTGAATTATTCACTAGGTCGTCAAGCGAATGTCTGCTACACACGACTTCATATAAAACCGATTCAGTGCTATCATTTTTGGTGATGCGTGCTTAGTTGTGACGGAATATGGGCTGGTGTGTGCAGGCAGGCGATGGGTGCCATTTACTCGCGGATCAGGGTTCGAAACTCCGTAGAGTACGAATTATAATTCTGTAACCTGTATGGTAACATTATTTGTATTATATTGAAACCTATATCAGTTGAAATCTCAATACAAAAAATTATCGGCTTATAATGGATAGAATTACGGTCCTTTAACTTGAATTATACAGGAATTTAATTAAAAGGTCGTCTCGTAGCCTCTCCATGAAAGCATTTAAATATAAGTGATGTTAAATTTACTCTTTCTCTATTATAAATATCTTTATAAATACCATTGGTTATGGATGCCAAAGTAATTCATCCGTCTTTCTTGAATAAAAGTAACAAATATTAGTACAAATAAAAAATAAATACAGCGGCATTTCGCACGACATACGAAATAAATGTGTAATGATTTGGCCAACCTTGACATCATTTGAATATACCCTACAACCGTGTTGATGAGACAGTTATATTATACTATACTTACCTAATAAATCCGTTTCGTTTTCGAACCCACGATTACAGACACAAGCTAGTATCTTAACATGGATCGGAAACAAGAATTCTTACAAGAGAATTTATCAACTGTAGAAAATAAAGTCACACACACACACACACACACGTCTATGGCATCAATGCAAGTTCTGTGTAAATAAACAATTCTCCAAGAGGATATACAGGAATCATGCTGAGAAATTCCATCTAGCAAAAGGGTCTAAATTTCGAGTACCCTGTGAGCTGGGCAGATAACAATTTGGGCGCATATGACGCAACGAATAATGACCTAACACCTAAAAATAACTGCCGTTGGCAGAGTTCTTAATTAACCACACGGACATGCTTTGCAACGTGGCGGTTAAGTTTCGATCTGTATATTCCCCAGGGTTGGCGGAAATAACCTAATAAAATGTCACTATGTGAGACGGCCGAAAACAAGTGAATATCGAAGGAAATTTATATCTCATTGATTTAGGTAACCGTCTCATAATACATAAAAATATAACGACATTGGAAAACAATGTACTTATTTTAGCATAACTGTCAGACAGTATGTATACATTTTTGTCTCCTTAACGAATTATAGATGTATAAACTGTGGAGTTTGAAACGAAATCAAGCTATAGAACTTTTCTAACGATGGACATGTGCAGAAACCTATATATATATATATATATATATATATATATATATATATATATATATATATATATATATATATATATATATATATTCTCCGATTGTAAATAGTTTTATATTTTAAACAAATGCTTAGTGTTTGCTATGAACTAATAACGATTCATTTCTAAAATAGAAGTTGCAAAAAGCTCTCAGTAGCAATGCCCCCTTCATACCTACCTGCCTCAATACTTTTCTGGCTAGAACATCGAAATATATAAACGTCCTTACAAAAAGGTAATCCTCTGCATCTATATTCCTGAACAGTATGTAATGACTTATATTCTTTATTACAAATATATTTTATTGAATGGCTTATTATTGTGCCAATTTTATCACATACACTCGTTTTAATATCAGAAGGATCAGACTATAGAAAGTTTAAAACCATGCATATTTGAAGCTCGATAAAAATTAAAATATTCTTCATGAGTTTCTCTACTATGGTTGTGTCATCTTCGCTAGTCAAGGTTTGAAATATTAACCCTATGTAGAAAGGGTTAACATATCGGAACATTGATTAACAAAGTTTAGTCCGATAAACCCCACCCCTCAAATCTGTGTTGATACTGATGGACGATATGTGGGCCTAATGTGACCTGTTCATTAAAATACGCAATTTTCCTGCATGGAAATCTTTCAGGATCAAACCTGCGTACGCTTTAAACATATACCGTTAAATGGTAACAGCCATATCAAGCGCGAAATTCAAAATGGCCACATGATTAATGGCCGTGTTATTCCAGGTGGATTTACAGGTCACAAAATATATGATACACTCCAGAAATGTAATGTACATGTCATCAAAAAAAAAAAAACAAACTCCACAGCCGACGGTAGCTGCACAGCGACTAGAAATACTGGTAAATGTATAGAATATACACCGTTATGTGCAGCCAAATTTAGATGCAGATTTTATTTAATAGGTGATATCAGCCCCTCACCCGAAAATCAATATCATTACAGGTGAAGGGCTGATTTATCGGCCTAAACGAAGATGTGGCTGCATGAGTTTAATTTTAACCATGTGACATCAGATGTATAGACGATTTGTTTCTTTAAAGCAATTAATATTGCGATTGCAATTGTTGTTGTTGTTGTTGTTGGGCTTTACGCCATTTTCAGCACACGATAGGCTATTCATGGCGGCCAGTATTAATGGTGGAGGAAGAAACCGGGAAATCATCGGAAAGAACCACCGACCCACGAGAAGCTACTGGCAAGCTTTCTCACATATCCACATTCGCCGAATCCTAGACTCGAACACACGCAGACAGAGGTGATTGCAATTAATAATCTAATTAGTTTAGATTTCGGTTCAACCATTCGTTCTTATAATTTTAAAGGAATGTACAATCACAGACACACGAAATAGAGGGTTGCATATAACTTGGTAGTAAGAGATTAGACATAAGGATAAAATGAATAAAAGAATGAACAGACAAACAAACGAACAATAAAATAAATGTAAGAAAAGATAGATATGTAGACGAATTTAGAAATAACAATATGAATTTACACACAAATGAGAACAAATATGGTAATAGCATTTCTCAAAGTGGATAATTTTACTGAAACCGGGAAAGAAAATACAATATACAAATTATGAAATTTGAACGTATGTTACTAAATAAAGGCGTTTAATTTACTTTGTTTACTACACTAAAGAATAAAACAATTATCTTCTTAGATCACTAATCTCCCCTAAATTTGAGGACTTAAAGATTATAAAACAAGTCTTACTATGTTTCGGTTTATATTTGATATTTGAATGGTATTTTGTACACGCAAGACATACATCAGCGTAAACTTCACATTTTAGACGCTCTAATTTTGTCCTGCTTGTCCGAAAGTAATATGGCGGTGCACGTATTTTTTTTTTTTACCCGCTAAATGACATCAAATTCTATTTATAGCAACAAGGTGAATTGGTAATCTGCACTACTAGGCAAGACTGTTCTCCCAGATGGTGCGGGGAAAGGTCACTTATTTTTGTTTACGCATTCTACATGTTAATTCTTAACATTGATAAGAGTAATCTGATCGAAGTGTACAGTTGTTATAGGTACCTCTTCAGATTTGGATAGTAAAATAAATGAAAAAATCGGCAATGCACTGTCCACCAACCACCTCATTATGCAATGTACATGTAAGACTGCTAGTCGTCAGCCATGGATTATTAATCATAATTTCATGATGGGAAAATTCCACATAAGGGATCAGAATTTGCTTCACGCTTAGCATGTTCAGTGTTCAATCCTTAGCATGTTAAATGTTCAATCCTACATTCGTGGGTATGATGGTCCTTCCTCCACCAAAATATACTGGCTGCCATACTTAACCTATCTTGTACTATTTAACCCCACAACAACAATCCAAATTCTTATAAAAACCATGTACTTTCAGTTTATAAGTCGCATGATCCGCCACCAGGTCAGGTCTGTGTTTTTCTTGGTACTGATTACTACCTCAAAGGACATAACTCAAATCGGTCGGAACATTACGCGATGAACCGCTCCTGTGGTTAGAGCGTCCGCCTCGGATGCGGAATGTCGTGGGTTCGATCCCCGGCTGAGTCATACCAAAAATTGGCGTTCAGTATTAACAGGTTAGTGTTAGGAATGGCTGTCACGGTGTCAGGATAATATGATTGGGTGAGACATCATGCTACGTGTCTGCGGCATGATGCCCAAGTGCTAGACATTACTTTAAACTGCCGCATTGCAGACATCGTAACAATATGACTGAAAAATTATTAAAGCTACGTTAAAAATACATATCACACACACACAAACACACACACACATTATGCAATGGTGGATATGTGTCTGTGCAATTGGCAGCTAGACTCCGCTTCTACACATTTATACACATATGGTTTCTGGAAAAATATCGCAATATGTTTTAGTGAGGTACGGTATTTGATTAGTGCCAGTGTTTTTTTTTATAGCTAGTTTGAACAAGAGAATATTATTTTTGCAAGATGTGTAAATGTTAAATATGCAATTATTTCCATTATGATTTCTTCGTTCATTCTTTTCTACACGGATAGGCAACTCGAAAAACCTACGAGTTTCGGGTCATTTTTGTTCTGACTAGAACCTACATTATTTCTGAAGACAATATATGAAGTACATGTACTACACTTACAAGTAAGACGTATTGAACATAACCAGAAGTGGGTGGAGTAAGTCTGATGCAATAACACTGGCTTAAGTCAAGAAACAAATATGCCATTGCTTGTGTTTACTTCAGGCATATTCATTTATAACACACCTGTCTCCTGTGTGTGCTATAAAAATGTCGTTAATCCCACAAAACCACAAACAAAAACTTGATAGCTAGCTCACATCTGCATTACTGACTTGTTTTTCATTTTAAATCGGTCATTGTTTACTGCTTTCTTCATCAACTTTGTTATGTTAAAGGTCATCTTTTCAAGAGAATAATGCATGGAAATGACCATGTTTTGAACGCTGTAATCAGTCTGATTATTTACATTATAATTGCATTGTCACGTTTCCAGTTGTTTCCTTATACGATAATTAATTCGACGTTGCAGTCTTAGTTTTCTTTAAACACACGCACGCGCGCGCGCGCAAAGTTCGATGGGAAAACAAAGAAATATTCGAATACAACATTTTCTATTAGCATATATTCGCCAAACGTATTCCTGTTCGAATGCTGGGCTATTCGTTTCAGCTTTAAAATAAGTCCAATTTAGTTTAATCCGACTTATAATAATGATCCCAGAATCCAGATTAATTAATTTAGTTTAATCCGACTTTGATAAATCCAACAAACTAACGAGAACAGAATTCCGGATTAATTATTAGTCGCTAATTTTGAGTATTTATGATTAAATGGACCACATCGTTTAATCAAGATTATACACTGTTAAATACAAACTGTTACTTACTATAAGAATATATAAGTTATAGTGAATACACTGCTTAAGCAATGAGTATCTTGCATTGACACTCACTTCGAATTTATCGCTGATTTTCCACTCTCAATCAACAAAAATAAACTTTTCAAACCTAAGGGCCATTGAAATTAGGTGGCAACAACTGAAACTGAGACCCGAGTTTTCAATTTGTCTGTCATATTTGGTCTGACTCCACGAGTGAAGATGTCATGAGCAAAACAATTCATTTTTTAATATTACTCTGACCGGAAACATACTGCAAAGGATCAAAAAGATACTTGATGTTTACACGCACATTCGACTAGATATTGATAATTGTAATTTATTACTGTATTCATAAAATGCATGATTCAAGTATTTTTACATTGAATTGTATTTTATTTTTTCCATATGTGTATTATGCATAAATTAATTGAAGTAGCATTGTTATGTGATTGATGGCAAGAGAAATTTATTCCATACCCGCTATCATGATGGGATGAAGCTTGAAGTAACTGCGAGTTTGATTTTTTTTCCCAGTCCGCTCTCAGACTACTTAGGCAAAATGGCCTTGTTTCAAATACTATTTAGCATTACAACGTACGTATCCTGCCTCGTTCTGTGGATGATAGCTTCGTGCAAAGCACATGACACTCTAATATAACACACGTGGTATCGGGAGTTCCGTACTCAGTATGATGCAATATGTACAGGGTGATGCAATATTTGGATGTTTCCTTAGTTTGAAGGCAAAGATAGTTAATATACAGAGTATAGCTCCAAATTGAAGTTAGATAGGTTATTGACCTCCAAAGAACTACATAGTTTCAAAAAAGTACACTAGAAATTAATTACATTGACAATGACATTCTGAATAATAAAGTGCCCCTTCGTTCTCTCTCTCTCTCTCTCTCTCTCTCTCTCTCTCTCTCTCTCTCTCTCTCTCTCTCTCTCTACACACACACACACACACACACACACACACCCTAGATCAAGGTTTCAAAAAAGAATGGCAAAAGGTGTTCTCGTATTTGAGAGCTTTAGATTTTGTCTCATTCAGTCGCAAAATGTTTTACTATATTAACTTCGTTATTGATTGGCTCAGGCTGAAAAGACAATTTTATAATCACTGCCGAAATATCAATCAACTAAAATGCTATCCATTGCGCAAGAAGCAAGTCACCTGCCTTATCTGCAACTTACCTGCCTTACTGGACACAATATTACAATGACAAGCTGTATTTAAAATAAATGTGACCATTTCCATTGCTAACTTATTTACAAAAACAGTCTGCAACTGTTGAACTTACTACCCAGTTGAAAAGATTTACATTTTATTTGAACACTGCTCTCTAAGCCGGTGACCTACGAGACAGACACTGATAGACGTTACGGAATCCCAAAATGATAACAAAGTGATAATAGACGACTTAAATCAAACAATTGAATTGAACAATTGTCTTTCTGACCCGATTGGGATAACTTAGCCTTACTATTTACCTTTTCTCATTCGGAATATTCTCATCCTTTTCAACCAGGTTGAGAGAAATTATTTTTTTTAATACATTTCATTGCTATTAAAAACTGTATTTGGAACTTCCTTTTGTTCATATGGCGCAATGTTCTGGCAAAAGGGATGTATCACAAATAGAACGTTGTTGTCATTTTCTGTAGTCACATATATGGCGTACATCGCGTAATAAGATGTCATGTGTCGAATTTTGAAAACTCTTAGAAGCTTTGATTAAAGGAATTGTATCAAAGTCAACTTAATTAAAGTAGAAAGGGCTAGAGATAGATGATTATTTTCATTTCATCTCTGAACGTCAAAAGGGAATTCGTTCTAGCCGACGTAACATGACCGAGTCAGATGCAAGAGAATGACATAAGACCCTTTTCCAAAATCGACAGGGTAAAGGGCGGGAGCTGGCTATAGATGATTGTTCAAAGTAATATTAATTACGGCACGATTAGTTGTTTAGTTGTCTTGTCTATCCAAAAATTCTACGGAACAGGTTTAGAATACAGTCTATTCCGATTGGTTAATATGGATTTATGGGCGTAACTCTGTAAGAAATTAAAGGTTTTACTTTAGGAAAATTCAGCAGTCTTAAATCTTTCTTGGGAAAAGTTAGACCGGACTCCGGGATCGTGTAAGACGTTATCTCGTGATTTGGCAGTACAGCGGGAGTTTTGTCTCAGCGAGTAGGCAAACTCTACATTTTGAATTCGTAAAAAGAACGTTTTCATTATAGAGTAAGGGGCCAGATAGTTGTCTCAGTTAGAAGACGGACTATACGTGAGGTTCGTGGAAACGAATAAAGAAACGGCAAAAGGTACGCAATCTCAGCTTCCCGATTTTAATATGTTATTTCATTTGTTCTATTTGCAAATGTATTGTTGATATGATGTATGTATGTATGATTTCATTTGCAGGATTTTAGTGAAATACTAGTCAGGACATTTTATTCTTTGATTTTCTAATTATCAATTCATTTGGAGAATTGGCAAGATTGAACGTAATTCAAATTTCATTTGATTAGTTGACAAGATTGCATGTAATTGAATTTTTAATACATATGAGTGATTAGGAATTTTCATGAATTAAGCTTAAGGAAGGATGGGTAATGTTTCATAGTTTTATGGATTAACTCTTTCTAGTATGATATAATATGAAATATATATCCATATACTAGTTTGTAATATTTAATTGATCACTTAAGTGTATATCTATATGCTAGTTTGTAATATTTAATTGGTCGAGTAAACTATTTTAGAATAGTTAGATCTGAGGGTTTAAGCCATATGTAACTTAACACTGCTAGATTGGTAGAGTAGGAAGTCAAGGGGGGGTACATACGGGTTCATACGGCTGAGTTGAATTTAATTGACCACCTTAATTGATCCGAATTAAGGTCAGGACAAGCCTTGACCATCTATGTAAATATAAGAAATAGGGAGCAATGAGTTACTGCGGCAGAATTTATGCCTTTTGTTTTCTGAGCCGAATTAGTGTAAAAATATAGATATATTTGGGAATATGACCTATTGTCTATTGCGATACATTTTATTTATTGAAGAAAACAGCTTTCCTGGATTCACATGAGAAATCCCTGAACAATCACAGGACCAGAGCAAATTCTAAGCAGAAATCTAAGTCCAGAGACGATTGTTAAATCAGAGTTCGACGGACAAGAGGCCAAGACCAAACAGCTAGACAAAGATCGGCAGAGCAGGGACGAACGGAAGTCTTGATGTCCGCATAAAATAGGTGATGAAGTCTCTCATCGTTGCACTCAAAGGTCACATCTCATTGGCAATGAAGATAGTATATTAACGTTGAAAGTAATTTTACATGTAAAGAAATTTGTATTCTTTTTATTTGAGTACATGTTAGTACCATTTTTCTTCTTTTGTAACAAAGTCATTGATTTCTTTTCATTTTCAATTCTGTTGATAAACTGATTAAATTTTATATTTATTCATTGAAAGGGGGCTCGTTGTGTTGTTTCTTCAATATACTTGTTCATTGATCTGCATTCTTCTTTCTATCTATCCACACTGGGTAAATTACACGGCGGAGGTCATTTATTAGCAACGAACGGTAGTGAAAGAGGTTGGTGTGTTTTGCACGCCGCCAAATCATCACATGAGAATTATTCAAATCTACCAAATTT